TTAGAAATGGGTTATGGTGAACTTAAACTGTGGTATAACAGTTGTGCATTCAAATCGCAAAATTTGTCGTCAACAATAACAGAACTATTTTTCAATTGTAATCCTGATTTTTTTCCTTTAATCTCAAAGTTATTACAAATATTAATTACACTGCCAGTCACAACAGCTACTGGAGAGAGGTCTTTTTCATCCTTGCGTCGACTTAAAAATTATCTCAGAAACACTACTGGTCAAATGAGACTAAATGGATTGGCAGTCCTCAATATACACCAAGATATTAATGTTGATCCATCAATGATTATTGATGAAATGGCTAAAACTTCAAAACGGAGACTCAATCTTAATTTATAAGTGTTTTTTATTCATAGTATGACTATTTCTATAMTTATGACTTTATTATTTTATTTCTTGTTATGTATGATGATTTATAAATAATATATTAACATTATTTATGTAATAAATTATATAATTAACCATACAGGATTTTATCTTATGTATATGTTAGCGGCAATGTGTATAATATATTTAATATATAAAATGCCTAGGAATTTTATATAATACCTGGTGGTTTTTAAAAAAGTGTATAATAAAATTTTTTTTGCACACATTTCCTAAATATTTTGTATAATAACTAGGCATTTCATAAAATGACAAACAACAAATTGGTAATCTGTAAAATAGTGAAATAATCCAAAAAAATAAATTTCAGGAAATATAATCGTATACAATTCGACAGCCAACGTTTTAAAGTTTTAAACATGCGATATCGGATTAACCACAGAACACGTACTGATCGTACTGACAATATTGTCGATAATGTTAGAATTACAAAATATCTATTGGTAAAAACCAGTAAGTATATAATATAATATTATAATTATAAAGATAAGCAAATATAGGTTGTCCATACGACCATACCCATAATATAGATAATCGTCTTGGTATAGGTCCACACACTAAGCCCGGTAATCTAGATAGATCACATACTAAATTCGATTTTCGATCGGTAGGTCACATACTAAACGAATACCATAATTTGTAAATTGTATGGGTAGTGTACTAACATGCAGTTATTAATTATTATTACTATTATATTACTCTATAAAATACAAAAATCTATATGTAGAACGTAGGTACTTATTAGGAATAAATACAATATACTTTTTTAAATTTATTTTAAACTTCATTAAGACAAAACACTTTATTTATTACAACACTGTAAATTAGGGTGACATTTAGAATTGCAATGAATTTTATTTTTTAAACACTTACATCTGTTATTTTGACATCTTGTTGAACATGAACATTTAATAAAGCCTTGTCCAGATCCAGTTGCTTCTTRRGTKGCAATAGATCGTAAACCCAATTCTTTTTCGTGGTTTACTTCCTCTAAAGCAACAAAATTTTGTTGACAGACTGTAAATTGGGATCTAGCATAAAGTTGTTTCAGGACACCTAATGAAAACAAATACAAAAAATACAAATTAATAATTAAAAATTTACGAAATTATCAATCAAACAATAGGTAGGTACCTGTTTTATTTCCTAAACGATAAAATCCATCTTCTGTAACTTCCAAAACACATGCCAAAATATTATGAGCTTCTCCTCGTCCTCGATCAACATCTGAAATTGGTACTCTTACTGTGTTTCCCACAAGTGCCGGAGGGAATTTTTTATTTGAYCTAGTTTTCATTTTTATAGCCTGTAATTCCAAATTACAATGTGCTTCTTTTCGCTGGTTTTCGATTTTTTTAGTTCTGGTACAAATATCTTCGTTGATCGTAGTGATAATATCTTCGTCATTGGTAGTAATATTTTCGTCGTCCRTAGAATTTCCCGTATTTATATTATTATCAACTATACAAATATCTTCGTTGATCGTAGTGATAATATCTTCGTCATTGGTAATAATATTTTCGTCATCTTGATTAGTTGGGATAATGGAATTGTGATCTACCAACTTAAGAAGGCTCTCTTCATCATCTAAATCTTTTAAAATATATGGTGGTAGAAATGATGTATCTAAACCAACTTTCATTTTACAACCAAAAAGTGCTTCGTAAGGTGACCTATTTATACCTTTATGATAAGCACGATTTTTCATCAGTTGAATAAATCTTAGACCTTCACTCCACTTTGTAGTGTTATTGTCCCTCATCCATGTCATCAACATATTTTGAATGTCTTGGTTTGCCCGTTCSACACTTCCCTGACTTTGGGAATGTCGAGGTTTTCCATGAACGATTTTTAAATTGGGCCAATATTTTTTTAAGTTAGAAACAATTTGATTGGAAAATTCACGACCGTTGTCGGATTGTAATATAGAAGGTGCTCCAAGTAAAGTGAAAATATCAATTAAATTATAAGCCACTTCTTCGGCAGTTTTTGTCTTTAATGGTTTTATGACGACAAATTTAGTTAAATGGTCCTGATAAACCATTATAAATTTAAAAAGTTTATCAGCATTTGATTGAAAATCGATCAAATCAACTTGACAGCGGCTATTAAATTCACTAGAAATAATGGGTTTCACTACTAATCCTTTTCTAATTTTTTTGTGTTTTAATTGACACAGTTCACATAATGACAAATAAAGATCTACTTCGAAGCGCGTAATATTTTTAAACTTACTATTAAGCTCATACAACATTCTGTCTCGTCCTCCATGTCCTAACGATTGGTGAGCATCATGTAACACATCAAAAACGTCACTTTCTTTTGTATAATATAAAATATTGCTATCATTATTTTTAACAGGATAAATTAGTTTACTAATATTATTGACGACCAAAACATCATATTTTTTAAGT